AAACTCGACAAATGATCTAGGAAGAAGCAAGCTAAGGAGTACTCGGGAGTAATACTGTGCTACTAAACACATTCTCTCACTACATTCATATCCTTTTTTTACCTTATTTTGTTAAATATACATCCATTAATATAAATTTGATCTTGATGTAGATTTAGCAAAATTAGGTAAAAGGTATAAACATATTCATTTTAGGGTGGATTTAGCCACATCTTGTTTCTATATATATATATATATATATATATATATATATATATATATATATACATATATATATATATATACACACACACACACCATATTTTTTTATTATAGGTTAAAGATTGATCATGATTGACTGCAAAAAGTTAAAATTAGAAAAATATTAACTTTTGCAATTTAGGTTTTTTATACTAAAATTCAACGAGTGTTCACATATATTGATTATTTTTTAGAGTCACTAAGAGGTTATATATGTTCATTATTTACTCCCTCTATCCTAAAACTAACTTATCGTTGGATTTTACGATATTTGGTTGTATTTAATTTTAAATCAATTGATAGAAAAAATACGGCATGAAATTCAAAAAATAAAATATTCATGTTCAAAAACTACATAAAATTAAAAGATTTGACCAACTAAAAATGATATGAGTATATTTTTTACTGAAAAATGGAGTAATTGTATTACTCAATGAAATAATGGAATACAAGGTAGACTATATATAGAAAGGAATACAAACCCAACTAGGACTAGGGAAACAGTTATATAAACTGGTTAAACTACAGAGTCTACCACAAGTAATATTGATTATAATTAATTGTCTAACATCTCCCTTCAAGCTAAACTCGTGTTACAAGTGGAAGCTTGTAAACAAGAGCCTGGAACCGTGGGGAAGATAGAGTTTTCATGAGTAAATCTGCCAGAAAGAGAGATATTCGTTGTGTGACGAACAAGCTTGATAGTGCATGTACTGAGTTTTTTCTCGGCGGGACTCTTGGCAATTGGAGCGATGGCGAGAAGTTTCTTTTTCTCCTTTTGGGCCATTCTTTGCTTCACTTCTCTATCGCTTTTCAGGCTCTCAAACTCTAGAAAAAACAAAGACAAATACAGCTTTGCAGCTTTTCAATCATGCATAGTCGTATACGAATTTTTTTGTAAAGAGAGAGAGAGAGATTATGGACGGTGGCCATTAGGCACGCTCGTTGAGATCGGTGGCGGCTGTTAGACATGTACATATTCTGTTTTTAAGAGAAAGAGAGAAGGATAAGAGACGATGATGCCATGATTTGTGGTGGTTGATCGTCGATCAAGAAAACCGGCGGTGGCGTACGGTCGCAGAAGAAGGGAGGCTAGACTTTTGAAAAGAAATACCTTATCTTCGATACCATATTAAATAATAGAATAATTGAATTATTCAAGGAAATAATGGAATACAAGGCAAAGTATATATAGAAGGGAATATAATCCCAACTAGGACTAGAAAACAATTACTCCCTCCGTTTGGAAATGTTTTTCCAACTTTCCTTTTTGGCCAGTCTGGAAATATTCTTCTCATTTCTTTTTTCAGCATACTTTTTAAGGATAAATTTCAATAATACCCTTCTATTTTATCACTAATATACTTTTTAATTACTTTATTAATAAGAAAAGAAGTTTTAAAAGTTTATAGTATGTGCATTTTTTGAAATTTAGCCTTTTTTATCAATCCTTAATAAGCGTGTCAAGTCAACACGGAAAAAACATTTTCATACGAAAAAAGTATACAAGCTGACTAAACTACAAAGTCTACCATAATTAATATTGACTATGATTAATTGTATGAGATTTTTATTAAATAAGCTTACCAAGTAGATAAAGTTTAGTTTGATCTAAGGCATAATGAAGGAAATATAGTTTCTAGACAGAGGATGAAATTAATTACTTTATATAAAATTAAAAACTCACAATAGACAAAGTTGATTAAGATGAAATGTTTTAGAATTCATTTTCAAACTCAAATTACTTAGAAACAGCTTAGGTTATGATCTAAATTCTTCTAGGATCTGGATTTGAAATGATTCATTCACATATTCAAAAAAAACATCAAAATCTTTTCTCAAATTTCAACTACGGGTAATGTTTTGTGGAGTATATGCGATCGTAGACAATGATTACAAGTCCTCGGACCGCCACATAGACAATGAATTAATTACCTTATCATAGAAGGGAATACCCCCTATGGTTTAAAAAACATGCACCAATACCCCCCTCCTCGCCGGAAAAATGGTCGGAAAATGATCAGAGGGGGCACGGGTGCAGCATTTTGAAACCACAGGAACTTTAAAAATGAGTTTTGAAAACAGATGGGATATTGGTGCTTGTTTTACAAACCACGAGGGGTACCGGCGCTATTTGGCCGGAATACAATCTCAACTACGATAGAAAACGATTATATAAACTGACTAAATTGCAAAGTCTACCATAATTAATACTAGTATTTTCACCCGTGCAATGCACGGGGTCAACGAAATTTTTGTCGATTCTGTTTTTTTTTAATATAATACATTTTCCGAATCAAGTAAATATATTTCTAACACTATTTTTTATCATTGGACAAAAATACCAAGGTAGAATAAATAATATCTGAGGAATTGAAAATGTACTCAAAAATGTCTTTTTTAATTCCAAACATGTTGGCATGAAGAATAAGAAATTAAGTACTACTTTTCACCTAATGGAATAAAGGATAAGACAAATTCATTTACCATTCAACAACCTCGAGCACGGGTGCCAATAGTGCACTATCTTAAAAAAAAGAATATAATAGTTTTTTATGTTCTCCAATAAATTTGGATAAGTGAAGTTCACTATATTCTTGAGGAATAACTTGTGTTAAGAATCAAGATCTTTAACTATTAGAACACCAACTTCATGTATTGTGGAGATATTATAATTTCTTGAGTCTCTAGTTTTACTTGTCAATAACCTCAATGATACATTAGAAGTAGGCTCGTTATATATGAAGTCTTACTTCTCAACAGCCTCAATGATACATTAGAAGTAGGCTCACTATCCATGAAGTCTTTAGTTCTTCTAAATATTTGTGTTAAAACATTATGTTAATCTACCATATTTCTCAAATCTTTGACCAAACTTTTAAAATGGAAAATACTAATTTTAAAATGGAACATACTTTTTATTTGATTTAGAAATTTTTACATATACGTAATAAAACTAATGCTCTATTAAATAAGCGTGCCCATAAAAATTCATTTTCTTTTATATATTTGTTTCTTTTTTTAAATAATTAGAAAATCTCTCCTATTAGTATTAATTCAAATCAAAAAAATCAAATGTAATTTCGTTTAGTCCTACCAATCTATCCGTTCTTAAAGTAAATTTATTTGTTTTGATTATAGTTTTTGAATAGGTGTTTTTTTTAAATTCCAAAATATACTATTTAATTTAAATATTTTCCAATAATGAATGAAAATATAAAAGTTTTTAAACGCGATTATATGGAGAAATTGGTGTGTAACAAATATGAAATTTAATTTCCGCATAATAAGTTTTTTTGTTAACTATTTTTTAAACATTACTTGCTAACATGACATTCTGATATGTTAAAAAAGTTGTCTAATAAGCACGCAACATGTCACAATTCTAGAAGCTCAACCCGTTTGAAATATTGAGGGAGTCGACTTTGATGGCGTGGCTGATGAAGTGTCAAAAAAAAGTTAGTCATCACGCCAAATGTCACAATTCTGAGAGTTCAACTCTCAAATATTATATATGAAGGATTGACTAAAATTAGTTATCTAACATTTTTATTAAATAAGCTTATCAAGTGCATAAAGTTTAATTTGATCTAATTTCTAGGCGGAGGAAGTAATTAATTACCTTATCATAAAATTAAAAACTTACAATACTTAATCTAGCGCGCGATATCAGCATGACTCTCCCAAGTGGACCAAATTAAGAGCTTGTTTGGGAATAGCATTTGCTATTAGCGTTAGCGTTTTGAAAAGGCTATCTACGGGCAGTGTTTAGCGTTAGCGTTTTCAAAGTAATCTGTACCATTAAAATTTTATCCAAAACGCTAACGTTAATCTCTAACGCTATTCCCAAACAGGCCCTAAATCAGAGGTTACAAACTTCAAACTCAAATGGAGTGGGTAGTAACACTCTGTGTGTAAATAGATTGAGAAAGTATATATAAATAAATTATGAAATATTTGCACTAAATAACACTAAAATTAAGTCATTTCTCTAAATAGCACTTAAACTATTTTATTTACTAAATAGCACTTATTAATGTTCAGATAGAGAAATAATGCATGTCTAGCGATGACGAACATTTACTTGAATAATGACTAATGGATAATGACTAAAAGTGCTACATTAAAAAAACACATATGATGTTATTTAGGGAAAATCGTTATATTTTAGTGCTATTTAAATAAATTTCCCCTAAATTAGTGCATTTTAAAAGATTATTAGTGCTGAAGCTAAGAAATAGAAAATGATCTCCTACTTGCCATTTGCACTAAGCAAACACATGCATGCATGCCGGCCAATATTTCTGCTTGTTGAAGAATATAATGATGAAGAGAGCAACAAAGTTTATATTGGATGGGCACAATAATTAAATCGTGCTTCAATATATATTATCATCACTCGCCAATTATATTACCCCTTCGTCCATAAATAAACTTTCCCTTTCATTTTTTCTTTGTTCTCCAATAAACTTCTCTTTTCCTGCTTGTTACTTGCTTGGGTGCTCCAGTGCTGATGTTACTAAAAGTTCAAACTTTTAATTATATGGGAAGTGGGAATAAAGTTTTAGGACGGAGGGAGTATTTTACTCCCTCCGTTTCTTAAAACACTTCCTCTTTCATTTTTTTTGTTTTTCTTAAAATACTTTTCCTTTCTATTAAAAAACCACTTTTACCCCTACTTTTTCATACCTTACCTATCACATCATACTTTTTCACTAACAACTAAACTATCACATCTTACTTTTACCCATCATATCAAGGGCAAATTGGAAAGTCAACTACAATTTAACACTTCCTTATTTTCTCCCAAAGTCAAAAGAGCAACTCTTTTGAGAAACGAAGGTAGTATATTTTAAGGATATAAAAATAATAAAATATGAAACTATAGGACCGTTGGAATCAAGTGTCGGTAATACCTACAGCACCATGGATGATGACAGTTGCAGCTAGCTCCATCGACCGAAGCTTCCCCTCCATTGTTGAGCTTGGCAATGGAAACATTCTCCGGGGGGAATCCTTGTACTCCGGCAAGCCCACAAAGAGACTCCCACTTGTATATGGCAAAGGTGAAATATTAGGACAAAGTTTACTAGAAAGCACTCTTTGTAATTTGAAATAATTAAATATTATAAAAATCTGATATTTCAAAAGTATATTTAAAATTAATTCAATTTTACTAAGTTTATATTATAACTAAAAAGAATTCCATGATTCGCGATCAAAGTAACAATGCAGGTAAAACAGGTGCTGAGTTTTGCACCAAGGAAATATTTGCACTAAATAATACTAAAACTTAAGTCATTTTCATAAATAACACTTAAACTGTTTTATTTCATAAATAGCACTTAGTAATGTCCAGAAGAAGGAATAATGTTCGATAATGCCGAATTTTTATTTGAATAATGACTAATGGATAATGACTAAAACTGTTATAAAAGGTACTCCCTCCGTTCTCAAAAACTTTTTCTCTTTCATTTTTTTTACTTCCAACAAAACACTTCCACTTTCTATTAAAAAACCGCTTTTACCCTTACTTTTTCATACCCTACCTATCACATCATACTTTTTCTCTAATACTCAATCCATCACATTTTACTGTTATCCATCACATCAAGGGCAAAATTGGAAGTCAACTACAATTTAACACTTCCTTATTTTTACACAAAGTCAAAATAGGAATACTTTTATAAAACGTACGGAGTACTACCTCATTATATTTTAATCACTTAATTTTATTATGGTGATGACCGTTTGATAACAATGCAGGTAAAAAAGGTGCTGAGTTTTGCACCAATGGAACACTATATTCGGGTTTGGTTAAGGGAAAGATTGTGGTTTGTGAGAGGGGAATCAATGGCAGAGCCGAGAAAGGAGAGGTGGTGAAGAGAGAAGGCGGCGCCGGAATGATTCTTATTAACAGAGTTACAGACGGGGAACAAGTCTACGCCGATCCCCACTTCTTGCCGGCCGCCGGCTTGGGAGCTTCCGCCGGAATTGCCTTAAAACATTACGTTACTAGTAATTCCACTCGAACCCCGACCGCTTCCATCAAGTTCTCCGGCACGGTTTACGGGGAGCGGGCCCCAGTGATGGCCTCCTTCTCATCCAGAGGGCCCAGCGCGGTGTCGCCGGAGATCATCAAGCCGGACGTGACCGCTCCGGGGGTCAACATATTAGCCGCGTGGCCGCCGTACATCGGGCCCACGATGCTCGAGAGTGACAAGAGAAGCGTGGAATTCAACGTCCTCTCGGGGACTTCTATGTCTTGTCCTCACGTCGCCGGCTTAGCCGCCCTTTTGAAGTCGGCTCACGGCGACTGGTCGCCGGCGGCAATAAAATCGGCGTTGATGACTACCGCTTATGCCCACGACCGTGAAGGAGCTCCGATAGCGGATTCCGTCGCCGAGAACTCCACCTCCGCCACCCCTTTCGTCTTCGGGTCCGGCCACGTGGACCCGGAAAAAGCGGCCGATCCGGGCTTAATTTACGACATTCCCGCCCGAGATTATCTCAACTACCTGTGCGGCGGCCTGAACTATTCTTCCGCCCAAATCGCCCTCGTCTCGCGGGAAAAATTCACCTGTCCGGGAAAGGGTAATGTGGTAAACGGCCTCCAGCCCGGCGATCTAAACTACCCTTCTTTTGCGGTGATATTTAACGGCGGCGTTAAATCCAACCGCACTCTCAAGCGGACGGTGACAAACGTTGGGATTCCTGGAAGCACTTACACTGTTCATGTGACGGAACCGGACGGGGTGTCGGTGATTGTGGAGCCCAAAGTGTTGAAATTCAAGAAGGTGGGAGAGAAACTGAGGTACAACGTTAGCTTTGTGTCGCGGATCGGGAGTGGCCATTCATATGGATCGCTGGTTTGGAAATCAACAAAATATGCTGTGAGAAGTCCGATTGCTTTCTCAATATATGTTTTTATTTCCTAATGTAGGACCTTTGGTCACTATGAAATAGTCATTATTTAAGTAAATGTCCATCATTACTGGACATTATTCCTTCCACTAGGTCATTATTAAGTCCTATTTAGAGAATAAAAAAGTTTAAGTCCTATATTAGGAAAGTCATTATGTTTTAGTCCTATTTAGGACAAATTTCACTTCTTTAGAATGATCAATGATCTCTTTGAAGATTAATACGAAGTACTTCCTTCCTCCTCTGATTTTCTCACATATTTGGTTATTCACATTTTTCTTCAAACTTTGACTATCAATTTTATTTATTTATATATAAATATACATTATAAAAATATACTCTATTACAATTTGAACTATAGTTTAAAATTAATCTAATGGTATTAATAAAATTATCTCATAATACAAGATATATAGTGTTTTTTTACATATAATGCTCAAAGTTTATAATGATTTTTGTTTGAAAAAAATACTGGATTTTTAAGCACCTAAGACACCAAAAAGCATTGAGAATGTAAGACAAACGATTGAACATGCACAATAAGAATACACAAAAAAAAATTCTTTCATGTTTAAAAGACTAAATATTGGACTCAGAAATAGACTTTTCTATATCCCAAGAATGCTTGTTATTCTTTTCCCTACATTATTCTTGTGTAGAATCCCCATGTGCTCATTCTTAGTTTGGTGTATTGAAAACCACACACACAGAATTGCCTTGCCTCCATGGCTTTTAAAAAGCCAATAATATGCACCATAGAGAAAGGGAGGAAAAAGAGGACAATTATAAGAAAGAAAAAGTCTAGCCAAGAATTTGATGCAAGTGTTAGGCCATCGCCAACACCCCAAGTTACACACAATCTCCATGTTTCGTTCTTCTTTTTCTTTTGTTTTCTTCTTTTTCTTCTTTCCTTTTCTTTTTCTTTCTTTTGATTATTAATCAATTCCCAAGAAAAAGTTTGAAATTATTGGTCAAGAAAAATGTGTTAGAGTACTCTGTATTTATTTTGGAAACAATTAATCTTATTAATAACTAACGACAATAAATGGGCGCACATAGATACAAAATGTTTCATGTCTATGTGTATTGGGGTGTGTCATTGATGTTTTTCTATGGACAGATGCTCTGGATTATTACAGATTGAAATGAGCTAATTCTCTGTATGGATTTCTTTTTTGGTTGAGAACACTAAATTAAAATTACAAGACAGGAGAATCCCATTTATTTGGTGTCTTCTAGATTCTTGCTTGTTGGGTTTCGATTTCTCATATAAAGATTCAATCTTTATGGGAGGATTGAGAGAAAGGCAGAAGCCCTTTTGGATATCTTCTAACTGTTTGTGATTATGCCTGCAAGATTGAATATGCAAATTTGAAATTTCTGTGCAAATAGGTATATATATAATCATTGATGGAAAACTATAATAATTCTCAATCTCCTTACACTTATGGTAATGTCAATGCTTATGGATATCCATATCTTTCCCTAGAAAATCAAGGATACCCCCATGCCCATATCCTCAATACCATTTCTGTCCACATCTTTATCCAAACTATGCATACCCAGCTATGGTTCCATCTACCCCTCCATCATCAGCTCCTAGTATATACCAACAAGGCATTGTAGAATATGGATACCCCCCGCAACCGCCACCGCAATCTCCTCTGTGTGTTGTTCCTTATCCGTACTACCTGTATAATTCTTCTCCTCTTCCATGCCCACCCCATCATTATCCACAACTTGTTGTGCCTCAACATCAGATATTGCAGAACCAAACATTTACAAACGAGTTCCCCATCCTCCAAAGACAAAATTCATCCTCTTCAGTACTGGATACATCTTCTGTAGGGTCTAGTCCCCATCACCATCCTTCCTACTCAAACACATTGGTAGTAGAAAAAGGACGCAACAAGGGTCTGTGGCTTACACCGTCCACACCCTCTAAAACCTCGATGAAATGTCTGCTCATACATGGGAATCTGGATATCTGGGTGTACAAAGCGAAAAACCTCCCAAAAATGGACTTGTTTCATAAAACCATAGGTGACATGTTTAACAAACTGCCGGGGAACATGAGCTCCAAGATTGAAGGACACATGAACCATAAGATCACAAGTGATCCTTATGTCACAATTACATTGTCAGGTGCAACCGTGGGACGGACCTACGTGATAAGCAACGACGAGAATCCCACTTGGATGCAACATTTTAATGTTCCAGTTGCACATTGCGCTTCTGAAGTTCACTTCATTGTGAAGGACGATGACGTGGTGGGGTCCCAACTTATAGGGACAGTGGCAATTCCGGTGGAAAACATACATGGAGGGGGGAAAGTTGAAGGATTCTTCCCAATTCTTTCAAGTAATGGGAAGCCATCCAAGGCTGGTTCTGTTTTGAGTCTCTCAATCCAATACACACCCATGGAGCAACTAAACATTTACCAGTTTGGAGTTGGGGCAGGGCCGGAATACACTGGGGTTCCAGGGACCTACTTTCCATTGAGAAATGGTGGGAAAGTCACCCTTTACCAGGATGCCTATGTGCCTTTCGGAAGCCTTCCAAATTTGGAACTTGAAGGTGGGATGAGGTATGTGCATGGTCAGTGCTGGACTGACATCTTCAATGCACTGCGAAATGCTCGGAGGTTGATTTATATCACAGGATGGTCAGTGTGGCATAAGGTTAGATTGGTAAGGGATGATTCTTCCCTGGAAGAATGTGCTTTAGGAGAGCTACTGAAGTCAAAGTCACAGGAAGGGGTGAGGGTGTTGCTTCTGATTTGGGACGATCCTACCTCTAGAAACATCTTAGGATATAAAACGGTGAATAGTTTAAATTACTCATAGGGATTAAGTCGTGTTATTCTTGGAAATGCTCCTCATGAGATGTATAGATTATATGTGGTATGTGCAGGATGGAGTCATGGCGACACATGATGAAGAAACTCGTCGTTTCTTTAAACACTCTTCTGTGCAAGTGCTTCTCTGTCCCCGTGTTGCAGGAAAGCGCCACAGTTGGATGAAACAAAGGGTAATAAGATATGTTATTTCACTACGTATTGTGGTTATTTTACGCATATGAATTATTATTATTTTTATCTCTTTTTACTGTCGCAATTTAATTGATTGTCAGGAAGTTGGAGTAATTTATACACATCATCAAAAAACTGTGATAGTGGATACTAAGGCTTTCAATAACAGAAGAGGAATCACAGCATTTATCGGAGGGCTTGATTTGTGTGATGGGCGATATGATACGCCTGATCATTCTATATTTAGAACTCTTCAGACTTTGCACTTAGATGATTATCATAATCCAACATTTGCAGTAATTAGTTTTCTTCCTCCTGAATATATGAACATGGGGTAGAGTTGTTTCAGTTGGTTGTTTTGTACATAGAGTGATCCATTGAATTAACATGATTACAGGGGAATGTGTCTGGTTGTCCCAGAGAACCATGGCATGACATGCACTATAAGATTTATGGTCCGGCAGCGTATGACATCCTCACCAATTTTGAGGAGCGTTGGCTTAAGGCATCAAAGCCCCGTGGCTTTAAAAAACTAAAGAAGGCATACGATGATGCATTGCTCCGGATAGAAAGAATGCCTGAAATCCTAAGCCCTTCTGATGTTTGTTATGTGAGTGATGATGATCCTGAAGGTTGGCATGTGCAGGTACCATGCATTTTTCTAAGATATTTGAAAGTAAAACTCTTGCACTAATATTCAAAACATAGAAAGTTGTAGGACAAAAAGAAAAATGTAAAGGAGCATAGTTTTTTCAAGTTTGGTTTTAGTTTAGTGTGTTACCTTTGAAAATGCTAACTAAAATCAAATTTGATTGAAACAATATAAAGGATATTAGTCCTTAAAATAACTAGAACAACGACGATGACAACAACAATCCATTAGACCCTTAATGCATTTACCAATCTAGATTACATTATACAAACATACAAATAATTTAAAATGAGCTTAAGCATGCCTAAAATTAATTTATTCAGACCAAATCATATTTTATAGCGAGTATTATCCTTTTCCTAGATTTTTTGTTTGTTTCCAATGGACTCTTTCTGATAACGCATGTCCTTCCCGTACAGATATTCCGTTCCATTGATTCCAATTCAGTAAAAGGCTTTCCTAAAGATTCTAAACAAGCTACTATGAAGGTGAGAGCAAACATATATGAAATACTTTTCTTTTCACAATATCCCTCCACCACCACCTGAGTTACATGACTAGCATCTCCGGTGACTTTGTTAAACAGAACCTGGTATGTGGAAAGAATGTCATGATTGACATGAGCATACACACAACATATGTGAAGGCCATCCGTTCTGCACAACATTATATCTACATTGAAAATCAATACTTCATTGGTTCCTCGTATAATTGGAGTCAATATAAGGACGTCGGTGAGAAATCTCTTTTTTCCAAGTTAACATCAGTAGGAAATATTGATTCTTTGGTAATTGAAACTTTAGGTTATGCTTTCTGATAGGTGCAAACAATTTGATTCCAATGGAAATCGCGCTAAAAGTTGCTGAAAAAATAAGAGCACATGAGAGGTTTGCAGCTTACATTGTCATCCCAATGTGTCCTGAGGGTAATCCAACGGGTGCTGCGACACAAAGAATTCTTTTTTGGCAGGTAAAGAACTAACAATTTGAAGTGAAATTTCAAAACAGCTTGACATTGTTTGTTTGGTTGGTTCAAGTTGCATGTTACTATGTTGCAGCATAAGACAATGCAAATGATGTATGAAACTATTTACAAGGCCTTAGTAGAGGTGGGGCTTGAGGGTGCATTTTCTCCCCAAGATTACTTGAACTTCTACTGCCTTGGCAACCGTGAGGCACCTCCCAGTGCAAACGATGCATCACGAACTGAAAATAATGGGCCAGCAAATAGTCCACAGGTATATATCTCCCCTCTCATTATCTATGCAGATTTTGTGCTAGTACCTTTTCCCTTAATTCTTATCTCATCTGATGTGAGTTTTGAAGTTTATATAACTTGGTTTCAGGCACTCTGCCGAAAAAACCGCAGATTCATGATTTATGTGCATTCCAAAGGAATGATTGTGGATGATGAGAAAGTGATCATAGGGTCTGCAAACATAAACCAGCGCTCATTGGAGGGAACAAGAGACACTGAGATTGCAATGGGAGCTTACCAACCTCATTATACATGGGCAAGAAAGCAATCGAGTCCTGAAGGACAGGTATGCAAAGATTAAGGCCTTGTATGACAAATGAATGTTAGTCGATAGAAAATTTCGCATTATCCAAACGTTAAGGTGTTTCATATAAACTCTTTCAATAATTGCTTACCAAACAGCAAAAGTTAGTTTTTTTTTAAGCTGATCAAACCTCTAAGAATGCTAACTGATAAATAAGCTATAGGATATCCAAAAGGTGTTTCCAAAGTTGGTTTTGCTTCTTGGAAAGATATATCAACTTGTAACAACTGACTCATTGATGTGTCTAAAAACATTTGCAATGTTCAGATTTATGGGTACAGAATGTCTCTCTGGGCTGAGCATTTGGGGGTTGTGGAGGATTGCTTTAAGCGACCAGAATCCTTGGAATGTGTAAGACGCATCAGATCAATGGGAGAAACCAACTGGCAACAATTTGCAGCAGATGAAGTGACAGAAATGAGAGGGCACCTCATGAAGTACCCTGTCCACGTTGACCGGAAGGGTAAGGTAAAGCCTCTTTCTAAGTTCCCAGTCTTTCCAGATGTTGGGGGTAGCATAGTTGGATCCTTTCTTGCCATTCAAGAAAATCTCACAATCTGAGTTTCATGTTTTGGGAAAAAAATCCAAAAACAACTCCCACAAGCATATAAGGATGATGGGTGTTGAAAATGCAAGTTTGTAATGACATGGTTAGTATTTTCGCTCATAAAGAGTTATGAATTTGGTCAGCACCTTTGTATAGTATAGGAAAGACATTTCAATGAAGTATAAAAGCATGCAGAAGACCCTAATGCCATGCTTCGTAAGCTTATCATGCATCTAAGCAACTTTTGACTTGTCACCAAACTATTTTCCTTTCAAAAAGTGCAACAAAATTGGCATATCATGTCAGCCAAATAACCCCTACCAAACGGGTCTTAAGCTGCAATCATGCATTCAAAATATATTCACAAGTTGGCCTGTCAAGGCAGGACAAAAAGAACAAAACTTTGCAAAAAAAAGGAAGAAGAAGAAGAAGAAAAAAGTAAGATTCATTGCAAGATTAATATAGTTCAGGCAGCTATTGGCCTATTGGATACAGCAAAATTGGTTTGACCTTAACTGAGCCACATAAAAAAAATCACTAAATTCTTTAAACTGTAATCTTACACACTTCGTGATCGATGCCCATTTTAGGAGCCTGAGAAATAGGTGTACCGGGTCTGAGCTCCAATAATCAGTTCAACAAGTTTTTCTGAACAAAAGACAAACTTACACAATAAATACCTTTTTCATGATGTAATCTTCTATTATTTAAAAACCACAAGAGAAAGTTTACTTGATGGTAATTTGGAAATAAGCAAACCTGTAAAAAAACCAACAACAGGTATAGGTTCTACTAGCTTTTGAGTAGTTTCAAGTCTTTGCCTGGCATAACCAGCAAGCATTAGCATAATTTTCATAAAACTAAGAAAAAAAATAGAGAATGTGTAAAATACACTATAAGAATTGACACTAGAAATAACAATGTTACCGTGTATATCTGCTGAAAAAGGGATCTCTCATAAGGTAAAGTGCCCACAGCATCTTCCTCCTTTTTAACTGCATTATATATTCAAACCAACCACATGAATTACACCATTTTGGCATTAACACAGATCTTTAAAGATGAAAGACACTTCTTACCTCGTCCATCTCAGGGTTTGAAAATTGAAACTGCTTAGTTTTACTCCTAAGCGGACACAGGTTTATAGAAGAGAGAATGCAACTTCCAATGACATCCACAGCTAATGAAATGACCCAAGGAAACCATGACCGGGCCCCATATTTCCTTACGAGTAATACATAAATAAGAGGTCTTAGCACAAACATGACCTCCCCTGTCACAAATAATCTCCCTGGAAAACCTTTCTCCGACAAGAAAGCCGATAGACTCGGTTTCATCACCATGGCTATATCAACAATAAAGATAAGGACACAAAAAAAAGAAGAATTAATACTTCAAACTTATAATAGAAACACATTACTTTAGCAGAGCACCAAATAAGATTAAGTACTTGGAGGTTCCTGAATAGCATCTTGGTGTTGCCTATGCAACCATGTAGGCTCTGAAACCATCCTAGCTCGTTGACCGAAACTGTTTAGTGCAGATAATGCCCTTCCTTCGAGATTATACAAGTTGTGCCCACGAAAATTCATTGGCTTCGGAATTTGTAGGTGTCCATGCATTTCTTCAGGTCTCGGAACATCATTACTGTTTTCAGTGTTTACAGTTTCCCCACCATGCAAAAGCATCTTATATCCACTATTTTTAAACACAATCAACCTAACGAGTACCCTGAACACATATAAAGGAAAAAAAGCTAAGATGTTAAATTAGCAACTCGTAATCACCATACAGTTGTACACAGGAAAGTGTCCTCTTACTTGACAGCCTCTGCAATGGCAATGAAATTCCATTTTCTCTCATCTCCACGGACTTGTTCAGCTACAACCTCAACCAAGGTCTCCAAGTCCTTCAACAAAGTCAGGCATAATGACAAAGGGACAAAGGAAGGGTCTGGAGAAGGTGTTGTTTGCACGCGGTTTGGAGTTGTCTCGATTATGTGCTCATTTACGGTAGTCATCATTCCCAAAAGTGATGATACTACAAAGTTTAGCTTGATCTATTAATTGAAACTCTAAATACCGTATAAGAGAACAGAAAACATGTTTCTTATCTTACATCTTCAGGTGAAAAAGCAATACGATTAATAGTTAATACAAGCGGTAAGAACAATTTTCTAAGCAATGGTTTGTAAGCATCAACAAGAAGCTTAGTGTTACCAAAAGTTCACAAAACCTGCTTCTGGCCCAATCTCTGAACGTCCAAACTCTTCCGGAAGAAGCCAAGTCAATCCCTGAAAACCATTTGCAACAAGTATTCATGGCAAGTTCAATCAAACCCTAGGAAAACAAAAGCATATTACAGTGCTGTGAAAGCCAAATTTAAAACTCATATAATGCAGTACTAAATGATAAAATGGGAAATCTAGAGAGAAAATACATGATAGAAACAAGTAAAAATCAAAGATTGTAACTATCCCAACATCTGATAAGTCTCTATAAAATGAAGTATAAAAAATGTGAAACAGAATATCTCTATTTGGACATAGATGAACTAATAGTAGAGAGCATACATTAATCAGGGAGCCCAGTTGGCGCACAAAATCTCTATTGGTTCTGACCCATCTCTTGTAAGCCTCCATAGTCTCCAAAGGTTGAATCTTTGGCTCCAAGAGCGCAGCTTTAGCCTCTTCCCGTCCAAATCAGTCGAAATTGAGCACTGTATTGGTATTGAGCCGCTACCTCGCCGGAATCAAACGCCCGGTGGAAAAAAAATGGGAAAACGGTCGGTGCCGGCGGTGATGGACTTGATTTTAAAGCCTGAGCGGAAGAAGATACAGCCGTGTAGAGAAAGCGCCCGTCCGCATTCACTGGAAAACGAGGAAAATGTTTTCCCAAGCCAATTACTCAATTTGATCATTTTCCCCTTTAATTTCTCATTTCATTCCACAAAAATATTGTATTCTTAAGACCATTCTCTTTTAGGTTAAAATTTCATAATTAAATGTTGGAACCAATGGAAAGAATTTAGAACAAATGAAAGAAGTTAGAAAAAAATAGAAGGAGGTGGAAAATTAAATTATTATCAAATAAATATGTTAGAAAACTCTAATTTTAGATATAAAAAAAAAGAATTCATCTTTGTTGTGTTTGAGGTTATATATTATAAATTTGGATATATAATTTTATTCTATACTCCGTATTATTTTAAATATTAATACCTCTATTACAATTTAGTATTTATTTATATATTCTGAACATATTAAAGCCCGTATAATTACTGCCCGCACTGAGAATCGAACACGTGACCTCTCATTTGAGAGAGACATAACGGTGTCATTAATTGGATTACAAGGTTCTTGGCAATTCTATTCTATATTGTTAAAGGAAAGAGAATATTTGGTAGAATATTTGGAGATATTTGTGTATATGTTGTTTTGGTAGTTTTTCTTGTATAGGGATTCTTTCCTTTTCCTTTTCCTTTACTTATTAGGAGTCTCAACTTGTGAGATCCTATATATAGGTCCTCATTGTAAATTGTAAGGACAAGAGAGAAATACAGAGAATTTCCTCCCAAATAATTCTTTCATGGTATCGGAGCCAAAATCCTAGAGATTTTCAGCGACTACTGTTCACGATCGCCCGGCATGGCGTCCATCAATCGTTGCTCAGTTTCAGTCGTTTGTTGTTGTTGCCGGACAACAGAACGGTCGACCGTTGCTCTTGAACGGTCGAGCACGTCGACCGTCCCGTCGGCAGATTGTGTGATAGATGCTGCTGTTGATTCTTCCGCCACCGCCGTACGCCACTCTGCTACCGCCATGGCCGATGAACAACCAAGGAAGATGTTTTTCTCCCTATCATCGTGTGTTTCTAGTATGAAGCTTTCAGGTATTCCTGTGTCGCCGCGTTGGATTATAGATACTGGGGCATCAAATCATATGACTGGTGATATTTCGTTATTGCATGATGTCGTGGGAATATCACCATGTGAGATTGGTTTGCCCAATGGGAAAAGAATTGTTTCTGTACAATCTGGGAAGATTAAATTAACAGAAACATTAATTCTGCATGATGTTCTATATGTTCCCACTTTGAGTTTCCATTTAATCTCTGTGTCACAATTGACGAGGGATTCGAATTGTGAAGCACGTTTTGCCAACGATAGGTGTATACTACAGGATCTGTGTTTAAAAACAGAAATTGATATGGGTGAGCAGGAAGGAGGACTTTATTACTTCAAGGAGCCTGAAAAGAAGATGGTGTGCAATGCGAAGAAGGAGAGTAAGTTTGATCTTTGGCACAAACGACTTGGACATCCCTCATCGCATGTTTTGTCTCTTGATCCTGAAGTCGGAACAAGTAAAAGCAGTCATAGTTGTTGTGATATTTGTTTGCGTGCTAAACAGACTCGTTGAAGCTTTCCTATAAGTTTTTATCAATCTGTTGATAAATTTGATATGCTACACTGTGATTTATGGGGACCATATCGGACTCCAAGTTTTGATGGTTCTACAATGTTCTTGACCATTGTGGATGATTTTTCAAAAGGTGTTTGGGTACATTTGCTTGATTCCAAACGTATGGTTGGCACTGTGTTGAAACAATTTTGTGCTATGGTGGAACGACAATTTGGGAAGAAAATAAAGTGTGTTTGCAGGGATAATGGCACAGAATTTGAATGTCTAAATGAATATTTCCGGGAGCAAGGAATTATTCATGATACGTCTTATGTGTCTACTCCACAACAGAATGGGAGAGTAGAACGCAAGCACCGGCACATTTTGAATGTGGGTCGGGCTTTGAGGTTTCAGGCTGGTCTTCCGATTGAGTTCTGGGGAGAGTGTATACAGACCGCCGCACATCTGATCAATCGCACACCTTCGTCTTTGCTAGGGGGGGTCACACCATACAAGAAGATCTATGAAAAACCACCCTCTTTGGCTCATATTTGTGTTTTTGGATGCAGATGTTATGCTCATAACTTGAAGAGGAATGGAGATAAATTCGCACCAAGAAGCAATCCTGGAATATTTGTTGGATATCCACAAGGGAAGAAGGGATGGCGTATCTACTACCCGGACACTAGGGAAATTAAGGTGTCCCGGGACGTTGTGTTCTGTGAAGATATTTTCCCTTTCTTGACTCCTACAGGTGCATCTCTTGATACAGGAAGTACAAATGAGGTTAGCTCTTATGATGAATATGAAAAAAGCGGACGGAAGAACAGATGGATCGTTCCAGGAGGGATGGTGGACCAGAGGAAAGCGGTAGAGCAGACATGCTACAGACGGTCGACCTAATGGACCGTTCGAATGTCCACGGTCGATCGTCCGAGAGGCAGAATGACGGGTTCCTGAGAGATGACCAAACGGTTGACCAGGTGGACCGTTCTGATATCCACGGTCGACCGTCCGCGAGGCAGAATGACGTTTCTTTGGGAGATGATCAAACGGTCAACCGTGATGTGGAAGACGGTCGACTGTGTCCGAGGCAGAAAGTTAGCGATCCGGAACAGCTTCAGACGGTCGACCCCGTGGACCGTTTCACGGACGGCGGTCGACCGTCCTCTTCCCAGCAGGCGGTGGAGAACTTGTGACGTGGTCAACGTGAGAAACGTCCAAATGTACGCCTTGCCGATTATGTTACTCACGTAGCTGGTTCACATGTTGGTGAAAAATGCAAATATCCTCTTGCCTCGTATGTCACACACGAGAAGTTTTCTGACAGACACAAGTGTTTTCTCAGCGCACTTGATGCTGGAATGGAGCCCACAAGTTTCAAGAAGGCATTCCAGGATGAACGATGGAGGAAGGTTATGAGAGAGGAGATTGATGCACTGGAGGCTAATGGGACGTGGTCTCTTGTCTCTCCTCCACGCCATAAAAAGCCCCTTGGTTGCAAATGGGTATATAAGATCAAGCGTAAGTCCGATGGAAGTGTGGATAGATATAAGGCCAGACTTGTTATACTTGGCAATCATCAGGTTGAAGGATTTGACTACAAAGAAACTTTTTCTCCTGTAGTCAAGTTGACCACTGTGAGAACGCTTTTAGCAATTGCAGCAGTTAAGGGGTGGGAATTGCATCAGATGGATGTTCACAATGCATTTCTACACGAAGATCTTCAGGATGAGGTGTATATGAGATTGCCACCTGGTTTCTCGAATTCGTCTAATGTGGTGTGCAAACTCAAGAAGTCTTTGTATGGCTTAAAGCAAGCTCCAAGGTGTTGGTTTGCCAAGTTGTCTGGAGTCTTAAAACGCTATGGGTTTGTTCAATCTGTTGCGGATTACTCCTTATTTTCCTTTGTTGGAAAGAAAGGAGTCATACATGTTTTGGTTTATGTTGACGATTTGATTATTGCTGGAGATAATACAGAGATGGTAAGCAAGTTCAAAGTCTATCTTGGAAATTTTTTTCATATGAAGGACTTGGGAACACTGAAATACTTTCTTGGCATTGAGGTGGCGAGGAGCACGTCTGGGATTTTTCTCTGCCAACGAAAGTATGCCTTAGATATCATCACTTAGGCGGGGTTGTTAGGTGCCAGGCCGTTGGGTGCCCCGATGGAGCCAAATCATCACATGGCTCGTTCCCAAGCCCCGGTCCTTGCAGATTGAGAACCATATCAACGGTTGGTAGGAAGGTTGGTCTATCTCTCCGTTACACGACCGGAACTTTCTTACGCCGTCCACACTTTAGCATAGTTTTTGAAGGAACCAAAGGAGGATCAGTGGTCTGCGGCCCATAGAGTCGTTCGTTATTTGAAAGGATGTCCAGGTCAGGGCATTTTTCTGTCAGCAGAGAGTAGTCTTCAACTCACGGTGTGATTCGGACTGGGCAGCATGTCCTTTGACGAGGCGGTCATTGACAGGGTGGTTTGTGGAGCTTGGAGATTCGCCTGTCTCATGGAAAACAAAGAAGCAGTCGACGGTGGCTCGCTCGTCTGCTGAAGCAGAGTATAGAGCTTTGGCTGTCCTTACATGTGAGTTGAAGTGGTTGAAGAATGTTTTGCGGTGTTTAGGGGTTGAGCATAAGGACCCCATGATGGTCCGGTGTGATAGCACGGCAGCACTTCACATTGCTGCTAATCCGGTTTTCCACGAACGCACGAAGCACATTGAGATTGATTGTCACTTCGTTCGTGATGAGCTCTTGCGAGGAGAGATTCGTACACTTCATGTGCCTACTACGCATCAGCTTGCAGACATTCATACAAAGGCACTCGGAAAGTCACGCTTGGAGTTTCTTCTTCCCAAGTTGGGCATTTCGTTACTACATGCTCCAACTTGAGGGGGGTGTTAAAGGAAAGAGAATATTTGGTAGAATATTTGGAGATATTTGTGTATATATTGTTTTGGTAGTTTTTCTTGTATAGGGAATCTTTCCTTTTCCTTTTCCTTTACTTATTAGGAGTCTCAACTTGTGAGATCCTATATATAGGTCCTCATTGTAAATTGTAAGGACAAGAGAGAAATACAGAAAATTTCCTCCCAAATAATTCTTTCATATATTAATCATATATAAATATCCTTTTTAGATCATTAATAGGAGTTAAAAAGAAATGGAAAAAATTGAAAGAAATTTGAAGGAGCTGGAAGAAGTTGGAAATTAATTTTTCCATAACTCTTTAAAAAACTACTCGTATTAATATCGAATACCTCTCTAAAAAAATCTAGTCCAATGTTGAGTTATGAATACTATGTACTTTTTGGATTTAGCTTAATCCTAAATTTTAGAATAACTCTTCTGTCTTTTACCTGCAACACATTTGGTAGGGCAAGTAGTAGAGTTGGTGCCATAAATAAGTTATTACTCCGTATTTAAGTAAAAATTTAAACTCTGTAGTGTTTGTCAATTTAATTTTTTTCCCAAAATGCTTTTGAGTCTTGGTAACTTTCATCTTCACTAATGGAGCTAAATATTCACTATTATTTGGTTTTGAACTAAGATAGAATAAAACAAAATGTCTTCTAAACTATTTAATTTGCACCTCTTTTAGTAGTGGAGTAACGCTTAATTAATGCAACTTTTGACACTCATCATGAGTCATATGGAAACAGTCGCTCTATGTTTTTAACATGAGAGTCATATTGCGTACATCTGATCCCCCTTGTCCTGCAATGTGTGGGGAGGAGCCTTTGAGACACTAGAGTAATGTTGTTATTGTTGCTTTTGAATGTTGATAACGAAAGTACTTAAGAGGAGGAAATTAACATTATACCTTTACTTTTATTTTTTTGGTTGATGGGTTGGAATATTACGTTGAGACGAGATGATTTTAGTAATCAATTAAATAAATATTACTCTATTCATGAATAAAAAATGAAATTGGAGCTCATTAGCATAATTAAAGTGACAATTTAGTAATTAAGGTTAATCAAGATGCTAAGTTTGAGACGAAATATCTAAGGGTTCAAAAGTGTCAAACGCTTTCCTTATTCTCCCTAATAAATTAAAATAGACCACTACTAAAAAAGTGTCATTGTAGAACAAAACGTCCTTCGTTTTTCATGAACTTTGTATATCATTACATCCAACTATATTGTGATTTTGTGTATTTATTTCCAAGTAACACATTATTCATTTCATGTTTTTTACTAATAAAATTTATGATAAGGTGGGAGTCATTGGACTAAACCATAAGACATTTAGGGTAAATTTCATTAAAAGATTGAATTTAATAGATTACTTAGTGCAACTCAAGATCTTATACATTCATTATCGATGTGTGATATTTTTTAACACCCTTCCTCAAATCGATTATAGAATCATTTTAAACCTAATCGGATGGCCGCTTACAGATAAATTCACATCTCCTGAAATGAATTCGAGAAGCAAGACATAAAAGACAACTAGGTTAAAGATACATTGGTCGCTAAGAATGAACGTGTAAACAAACACATTAACAAATAAGGTGGACCAAAAATCTGCTTTGCTATCATGATACTCTATAGAATTTAGGATGGTGCTGGGGGTTACTAGACTGGATCGCATGATAAGTGGACTAAATCACCGTAAAAGATTCAATTTGATCAATTACTTAGTTCAACTTAAGAAGTTATATATCAATTAATTTTCCATTCGACTTTCGATGTGAGACGCTTCTTAACCATTTACTTTCTCGGGGTAAGAATAGGCCTAGACACGGTCTCAATTTCGAATCGTTAGTGTAACCACCCTAAATCGCTAGATAAAGCTTCAAGTTCCAAATCTCAATTTTTTGATACCGTGAACTTATTTAATTATTTTTTATGTTTTCATGCTTATTCATTATTATTTGGAGTTGATTCACAATATTTATCACAAAAAAGAGTTTGGAGTCAGTTATATAACTTTTTTTAGCAAAACTATATATATATATATATATACACTTTCCATTTAACTAATTAAAAAAGATAACGTTGATAATTATTGCGGAATGGAAATTAGTTTGGAAAACTATCTTATTAGAAAGTACTCTCTCCATCCTAAAATGTTCTTCCCAGTTATCTTTTCATACGGTCAAACTTTAATATAGGTAACTTTCTAGGCCTACATTTTTTGAGAATTTAGCTGTATACATTTTTGTTTATGAAGCCACCGTACATGTTTTCAAATCCCCGACGTCAGCCGAGCGGGGAAGCCAGAAGACTGAAGCACGGAACACGCCTGCAAGTTAGCCGGCAGAGTCCCCAACCGCCACACGATTCCGCTATTCAGCCGGAAGCCTCCGCCCGTCCCCAACCCCCGCACGATTCCGCTATTCAGCCGGAAGCCTCCGCCCGTCCCCAACCCCCGCACGATTCCGCTATTCAGCCGGAAGCCGCCGCCCGTTCCCACTATTCAGGCGATATCAAGGTGAGTACTCCGGTCTTTGACTCTCCGTATTTGTTCAATTGTCTATTTACAGCAATCAGCAAGTTTTATGAAGAATGTTTCCGCGCGGCCGAATCATTTATCATCTCTTTTCTTCACTTCTGTGTGTGTAGTGTAGGGTTTGTGATGATGATGATGATGATGAGGTATAATTGATATTGTCTAGCTTGTCTACCATTCGGGTCGGCTACTCGGGTTTCAAATTAGGGTTTCAAATCTTTCATATAATCCAACACATTGCGAGATATGAAGTTGACCCTCGAATTCGGGTATGCTCTTTCAAACTCCTGCAATTTTTTTGCCCTTTTCAAATTTCTGTATTGATTCGTCTAGAAGGTGAAAACTGTTGGGTGATAATGATCGCCTCCAAAGAAAGGTGATGATTTTCAAAGATATAAGTCTGAAAACTATGAACTCAGTGAAACTATGAACATAGTATTTTTGTTAAAAAAAATCTCCTCCGTAATCTTCAATACAATAATTATACAGAGGTGGGTTGGAACTTCTTTGCAATTCTGAGAAGGAACATGTTATTGACATTATGCCAGAAGACGGAGAGCAAAAGGTGAATCTTTTTTGCCCTGTTAAAACCAAATTTCTCTGTGAATATCTTTCCTGGTTCGTGTTTGACTGCAGTAGCTTTGGTGTGTTTTCTTTGCTTTCACAGCAGTTGACCATGAAATACTTGCTCTCTTGGGTTTGCAAGGAGCTGATCAAGGAGAGGAGGGAAATGTTCATGAAGGGAGACACTGTGTAAGTTGCAATCCAAATACTACATTTTTACTTGGAAAGTCATGTACTCGCGTTAGTGTTCTATGGCCATATTGGAAAACAAAACCAAGACTAAAAGACGGGGTTACTCATATGTGATATGATTGTAGGAGGCCTGGAGTTCTAGTCCTCATCAACGACACAGACTGGGAACTGTGTGGGCAGCTAGATGCAGTGTTAAATGACAAGGATGTCATTGTATTCATTTCAACACTGCACGGTGGATAAATTGTGAAGCTTTTTTCTCTGCATCCTGCTTTGGCTATTAACTATAATCAGACCGATGTTTGATGTTTTTTGAATGCGTTTTTTGTTTCTTTCTTTTCTAGATCCGAATGCTGTGGTGTGTACTGCTAAATGCATTTGCCAATTGTTCATATCCTAAGAATGCTTATGAATGTGTACGCGTGTGTGTAATCAAATTTGTATTTGCTTCAGAATTACACTTCCAGATTTTTGGGACAGATGAAGAACATAAAGAGGTTTGCATATGATTTTATAAGGTAAGGTTGTGCTGGCTTCTCTCCATCCCATTTTCCCTTCACCAACATGGGTATAGAAAAACACCTTCCTTTAAACTAAAAGGAAGGGGAGGGAAAATTTATGAGTCCCTCCCCTTGTTTGGTCTAAAAATTTGGAGGAAGGGAATCCAAAATTTGTCCCCTCATCTTTTAAACCAAATATAGAGAGATATTGTTTTCCCTTCCCTTCTATCCAAAGTCCAAACCATCCCCATCCATTCCTTCTCTGATCAAACCAAACATAACCTAAGAGTGCAAAATGAGGTGAAGGGTAAAGCCGGGCAAATTAAAGTAGCATTTTTCACACAGGCATATCATTTAGTAATTTCACTCCGAGGTAGTAACAAAAATCATCATAACTGTACTACTCAATGGACAGTAGGTACAAAACAAAGTGTTAATAACTTCATATGAATACTGTAAATAAGAGCTACTTCTGTAGATAGGTTAGGAGATATGGTCAAAACTTTCATGGGTGGATGAATAGCAACTTCCTGTGGGTTTGCTGCAGCTTGTTGGTGATCTTGAGGACAAGGCCTGGGAAAACGTCGTCGAAATCATTGATGTGAGTGTTTTCTTCGAGGATAAAAGGGTCATTGCACTTGTCGCTGATCGTCTGCAGTGATTCTCCTTCCTTCACCACGTATATTTCGTCGCACCTCGCCGAGCTCTCGCTTGCCGCCACTGGAGACACCACTGTTGCTGCGGCGACAAAGAGGAGGAGGAGGAGGAGAAAGGAGTGCGAGGTAGAAGCTGCTGCTGTTGCTGGAACAGGTTTGAACGACATGGCCGGCTTGAATGAATTGTGAACTGAAGAATTATAAGCTGATGATGGACGAGGTTAATTGCGGTTGTTGATGAATAAATGGTTTACTTTGGGAGGTTTAATGGCGATTTATTTATATAGATGGCAAGACAGGGAGGGATTGATCGGAGGTTGTCGTGGGGAAGTGGAGAGGTTGACGTGGGCAGTTAATGGCAGATTTTTAAGGAAGACGGTTTCTCTCTTCTTTCAAACTAGTCTTCTTTTTCCTCTGTTTTTTCTTAGGAAAAGTTTTTTTTTGTAAAAAAAGTCCCTTCTTCATTTTCGGCTGCTGTTTTTTCTGGTCAATTCATTTGAAGGAGTCCACTTATTCCAAAAGAAAGAATAAAACAACACGTTTGGCACTAATAGCTCAATACTAAGTATTTTACAAATATATACCAATAATGGTTATCTTCATATATCTGTAAAAAAAAATTGATATCAAACTTGGTCAATTTTGATACTTGTTTTGACATCAGTTTTTTGTCAATATTTACAAACATTTGACACTAGGAAGAAAGATCAAAGTAGGACTAAAACATTGAAAATCTACCAAGATAAGACTTTCATGTTTTTATTCTCAAAATAGAACTTACATTACCAAACATGGTCATGTACATTACCAAAAAAAGTATAGTAATGTGCACATGTAAGTGTCACATTACCACAGTGCAAAATCTTATTTCGAGGAAGAAAACATGAAAGTTCTATTTTGATACTTTTCTCTATGTTTTAGTCCTATTTAGGGTGATTTCTATTGATATTAGGCATCTTACACCATTCTTTGTCTATGAGAAATTGGTATTAACAATGGGATGTTGCAAGTATTTTTCCAGAAAAAAAAAACTAAAATTAAAATAAAGAATGTGCGGTCTACAATTTTTTTTTTCTTTCAAACAAATTGCACTCACATATTTCAAATTGTATTTTTCATGAAGACCGTAAAGGCAAACAATAAAATTATACTTCTTCTTTTCCAAAAAAAATGTGACAATTTATTATTCAAAAATTTAAAAAACTTTTATTTATTTATAAATTTTCATCGGTTATTTGATAAAATAAAATATTCTGGCCACCTCTTGTTTTGAATTTCTGATGTAGTTTTTAAATATGTAAATTTTATTTTTTATTTCTATATAACCCTTTAAATAAAATAAATTGAAAAAACTTAAAATTTGTCTTTGTTTTGCGTAATGTGACAAACATTTTGGGATAGATGAAAAGTATTTGTTTAGTTTTTTCTTAGCCAAGATGAAGAACGCTGTCATCGATTAAATAAACATTGTACTGGATATTACTCTGTTGTAAAAAATGATTTATTAAATTTAATTCATTGTATTAATAAGTACTCCGTAATACGTAGTACAAATTTAATGATTTGAGTGTATGATTGCGGGATTTGCGGATAACTGTAATGGAACATGCCCCTTCTCCTGCGATCCCTCCTCCTCCCTCAACATCCCTACATTTCCTCTCCCAACTCCAACCCTTCATCTCCGGCGGGCAGCTTTGCCAAATCCGCCTCTGCAACCTCGAAGCCGGCGCCATTCAGAATACGAGCATCCTCGACGGCGAAACCCAAAACGAACAAGCAAGAGGATGATTACCATGCCACTCTCAAAGCTCTCAACTCCAAAGGACGATTTCCCCGGAAAACTCTAGGCCAGGTGAGCTATATGCACCACGAGCACGGAGGGTACTTTTGTTTCTTCTTCTCTGGGGCATTTTATCGAACACCTTAATGGGCGTGATTGAAAGCTCATGTCTTTCTCTCTTGATCTGGCGAATGCAGCATTACATGCTGAGTTCTTCTGTAAACGAGCAGCTTGTTGCAACTGCAGGGGTCCGAGAAGGAGACGTCGTGCTTGAGATTGGGCCTGGAACTGGTTCGCTCACCAATGCTCTAGTTAACTCCGGCGCCACCGTTCTTGCAGTTGAAAAGGTCCATTTTCCATGAACACTGGTTTTTGGTTTCATCTAGAATATGCTTATATATGCGTATAATTACAGTTTTGTTCCCAAGTGTAGGATCCGTATATGGCTGCACTTGTGAGGGAGAGGTTTTCAAACCTGGGGTGTGTGAAGGTAATAGTTTTACTTGTGCTGCACTGATGTGTTATTTGATCAAGCAGGAACAGAAGTTTCTTTGTGTTTGTTTGGCCTGCTTGATAACTCACTTGTTTCTCGAATATAACACAATGTTTTCATCAGCTAACTCAAATTTCAATGAATTGAAGAGCGTCTTATGTTCATATTATAATAATGTAGAAAATACTTCTTACAAAACCAGATACACTCCATTATGTTACATATTGGAGCAAGGTGTCAGTCACTGTCATGCGGCCATTGCCAGTGGAGCTAAAAGAGTTATTTTTTTTAATAATGTTTTAGCTTAGGGTAAAAAATGGGCTAAATCAAGATGGCACATCAAGCTATCCTTGCTTCTTACTTTCTACGAAGTTTAGGTAGTAAATGTATTAATGCATCAAGGGTCCAACTTAAACCCCCCAAAGACCTTTACAAAGTTGGGATTTTACTGAGTTTGTTGGTGGTGGTGGTGGTGTCAGCCTTATTATATGTGGAACCTCTTTTCACTATATATGCAGTATAATCTGCAGATTTACTATCTTCAAAGTACTTATCTTTTCCAATTCTAATTTAAGCTATCTCCTATTTGTAATGAGATGTGATTTTGTTTTCATTCATATTCTCTTAAAGAAGCAGACTACTATTTTCTGCTGAACAATAGGTTTTGGAAGAGGATTTCACAAAATGTCATATACGCTCCCATATGTCATCCGTTTTGGAAACTGATACAGGACCCTTATACAGTCAATCACCATTTGCAAAGGTGAAAACTTATTTTGTGCTCTCTTTCCCCCTATATGTGATTTTTAGTTACCCTTTTTATAGTCTGAATTTGGTTCAAATACAATATTCAATTTATTCTTCCTTTTTTCCCTAAGAAATGTCAAGTTCCATAATGCTTTTGCAGGTGGTCGCTAATATACCGTTCAACATTAGCACAGATGTGGTAAAACAACTTCTTCCAATGGGGGACATCTTCACAGAAGTTGTTCTTTTGCTCCAGGTCCACACAAGGACTCACTTGTGATGTTAATAACTTAATATTTCATATTTAGTATATCCCTTGCATATTATGTGATACTGCAAGCATCAGTTCTAAAAGTAATATAGGCAAGGTTTTCCTCCCCAACACCCCTCCATCCAACAAAAGAAGGAAAACAGAAGGGTCTTTTAACTATAGCCCTTTTTGCAATAGTTAAGCATCAATGGTGTCATGGTTATTCTTTGTTGTTTTAAGAAACACTAAATTATTATTTACTTTACGGTAAAATTTAACAAAAATCCCATATTTTCATACAAAAGAATGTTTTTTAGTATGCATGATAGTTTCCACAAATGTTGTGTGTTTTGCTTGAAAGTGCAAAAGAGACAAAAGAAAAACATTGCAACCTTCCGTCTTGCAGACATTTTGCATGTTGATTTTCATAACATTGATTTTCAGAGATCAATTAAAATCCTGATATGCTTGCTGACGAGAGATATTTGGTCGGACTTTTGCAGGAGGAAACCGCCCTGCGCATGGTGAATGCATCCTTAAGCTCGTCCGAGTATCGACCTATTAATGTTTTCATCAACTTTTATTCAGGTAATTTGCAGAAAAAGTAATCTGTGAGTGAGGTGAAGGTTGGAAAGTAATTTACCACACATCATTTGTATATTGGCAATGGCAATGTTAATGGTCTGTGGGGATTATGCAAGAAACTTCATGTCTTTGTGAATTGCTTCTATCATTGTTGATATGTTGATTCATGGAAGAAAAAAAAAGCAAAGTAGCAAAACTTAACATTGGGTGTCCTTTCTATCACTCTTCTTACAAGGAATAATGTAATGAATTAAATTCCAAAACTATCATCACTTACTTTCATTTGCATGGAAAATATGATGGGATGTCGATGAATTGAGAATGTTAGTATAATATTCTATTAGAAATTGATATTGTAAATCATTAAATCAACATTCAAATAACAAATCGTAACAAAGCTTTTCGGTCTTTTATATCTTTATTATTCCCCTGAGTTTGGATGTACATACTCTCTTTGCAGATCCTGAATACAAAATCAAGGTCCCAAGGACAGCCTTTTTTCCCCAGCCCAAAGTAAATCGTTTGTTTTAAACCCATTTATAGCTGTAATACAAAACCAATACTCTGCATATACTTTGTATGTGATGTATATAATTCTGTCTGCCATAGCTCAGCCACCTTAATGTCTTTCAATTTCTACAGGTTGATGCAGCAGTGGTTTCCTTCAGGCTAAAGCAAGCTGCAAATTATCCTCCGGTGTCTTCCAGCAAGAGCTTCTTCTCAATGGTTCGTTTACTGCTTAATTTTAATGTTATGTGCAAAAAATGCTGAATAACACCTTGAAAGACCAAAACAACAACAAAGCCTTATCCCACTAGATGGGGTCGGCTATATGGATCAAACGATGTCATTGCACCCTATCATGTATCATATCAACTGTGAGATTGTTCACGCGAAGGTCTCCCTTTGCCAAGTCCTCTTAGGTCTACCTCTTCCTTCAGCCATATGTCTATTCACCATTTGATCAACCCTTATCAATTTTGTTTTGCCAGTCATTTAGGGTATGTTTGGACTGCAGAAACTGTAGGGAAAATAGCAAAAAATGTTAAGGCGAATACTGCGCAGGCGTTTTTTAAAATGTTTAGCTTATCATGGGAAACACGAAGTAAATGGTGTATTGAGTTCAAACCAAATTCCCCCCCCCCCCCCC